TATTGTTATTAAATAGCATTACATTCAAAAAAAATTTATTAAAAAATTACTAAAATTATTATTATTAATATACTATTAACATATTAGCACATAAGTTATGTTAAAAATGTTTCATATTATACCAGTATACCATAAAAAAATTAATAATAATTTCTTATATAAAGATTATTATTATTAGTTTTATTAATAGTATTAAATGTTTGTTTTTTATGTATAACTATATAAATGTAAAGAGGCTTTTAGATTAATATACAGTATAAATAATAAGCATAATAATAATTATTATTATAATACAGTATCCAAATACTATATAAAAAAATAATCTCAAATCTTAGGCAATCAATTAAAAACAGTTTTTGTTATTAAGTTTGATTTTCTCTCTATATTTTTATATATCAATGGTATGTATAGACGTCATCACATTATTGTTATTATCTTGTATACTGTTTTTTACTTATATATATATATATATATCGTAGGTTTATGTGTGTGTTAATGAGTGCCCAGAGTTTTATATCATATGATAAAATAAAATATATATAAAATAGTTCACAAAACGATATAAACATCCACTTTATAAGTCATTGATATAAATGAAAACAGTTTGAGGATTCAGGCGATTATGTGTTTGCGGATCACTGATTATATACTGTATATCGACACACAAACACACTCACACACATACATACAAACACACACACACACACACACACACACACACACACACACACACACACACACACACACACACACACATACATACATACAACTGTTAGCTACTAAACATATCAATGGGACAAACCTTTATTTTTTGATGCTATTTAACAATAATACAGTATATATTGTATAACTGATATTAACTTATTTATTGAAACATACTATTTATAAATTGTTAGCTAAAAAGTAACTTAAGTAGGATTTTGTTGATCAAAAAAATAATACACAGAATATTCTTTATTATTATTATATACAGTTTATTATAATTATCATATAAATTGCTATTATATTTATAATTAATTTTTATTTTATTTATTATATGCCAATATAT